GTCCCCCAACCAAAAAAAAAACACAAACAACAACAACAACAACAACAACAACAACAACAAAATCTCTTCCTGTGCAAAAGAAGGTTCTGTAACTGCATTTTTTGGAGGATTTAAGGTCCCACCTGTTGACCTCTGACCTCCCTCCAAAAGGCTGAAGCTCCAAATTCCTATCCCTTTTGCAAAGGGAGCCTTAAGGCTTGTGATGTTGCAAGTTCCCTGTATATTCGTACACAGGGATTACTCGAGGACACAGTGGACAATTAACATAGCGATTGAAGCTAACACAGGATCATCATGTCAGGAGTGGGTCAGAATGAAGTTATTTCAGCTGAAGTAACGATACATCAGCTGACCAAATATCAGATGTTAATGAAAGGGCAGAATGAGAAGTTGGCATCCGAGACTAGGAGGGTACGATAGAGGATATAAAGCAATAAGGGAAAAAGAGACTTCCTTCAGACATAAATATTAGACACATGTCGAGCCTCGAGAATTATGCTGAAAAGGTGTAGGTTTCTATCCACTGAAATGGACTAGAGGAGAAAATGGTCATCCTATCTGAAAGCAACTAGACAGGTCAGGAGTTGATCAGCAATAAAGAATAGGTTTTAATTGGCTCTTTGGTTTTGTGCAAAAATAAATTGCAGCAACAAATATTTTATGGAACATTTGTTGCAGGTAATCAACTTCAAATCCGCTGTTTGGATGTTTGTAATTGTATTCTAGAAACTGTATTTCCAATGCAAAGTCAGTGTTTGGTTGAAAACAGTTAGTGCAAAAGCTACATAAGTTTGCCATATAAGGAACCTTTGGTGGAGGTAGTTTTCTATTTGGATTATTTATTTATTTTTGATGAGGTGGAATTTCTATTTATTTTTCAGTTTCTTTCTTTGAATCATGTAGCTTTTCCTCCCACCAAATTGGCCGTAGCATTTGTTACAAGTTTTTTCTACAAAATGCAAGTCCATTTGCCTTTACTAATTACAAAATTGTAAATCATACAATGTATTTACAAACCTGTTTGCTCTATTTACACTTGCCACTCTATCTCCCTCCAACCAAACAACACCTACACAACTTTGCCCTCTGGTGTTGCTTTTACCTTGGGAAACTAGTATTATAATGGATGAGCTAAAGTTGTGTTCTTGTAAAGGAAGTTAAGAATACATATATCTAGTCAAACCTTTAGCAGCAGCATCAAGTACAATTGTTCGCATAAAAAATCTTTTAGCGTATAATTGTGGAAGCGAATTCTGATTAAAGATACAGGTGACTGTCAAAACTAGGCTGAAACTGAGAGATGAGCATGCATAACATGAGAGTTCACAGCCACATGGTTCAAGTTGGAGATGCTAAAATAGAAAATAAGGGTATTATCGCAAAACTTTTTGAACCGTTGAACAACGTATAAGTTCGACAGGTGTTGAATTAAAGAAGGAAACAAATTTTATAGTTGCAGAACAGGTAATTTTGAGGGTATAAAATAGCCATAAAGAGACTCCCTTGGGACATTTCAGGTACGTTAGACTTAGTGACCTTCGGTTTTCGTCTACTTTACAAATTATACCTGTTTTGTTTTAGTTTTCTGCCATGATATATGCTTCACCATACTATCATGTGTGGTATTGGAGTTTCTGGGGATTTTATTGGTTATTACCCTTGACCACAAAATGGACACTAAAATGACGCCTTGTACATTACAGAAGTTAATATGGTCAAGTTTTTGCTGCAGACCTTTGTTTTTTGTTATAAATGCCATCTTAACTATTGTGTTTTTAAATCTCTCCTTTTTCTAGAACGTAAAATCTTACCTAAGAAGAGGAACTGCAAGGGAGATGCTGGGCTATTACAAAGAGGCAGTGGAAGGTACGTGTGAGTGATTAGGTGGGGGTGCATGAACATGTGTACACTTGTGCATATTTCATGTCATGATGCATGGGAGGCTATTTGGGGTTGTCTTAGTGCATGCTTACATTTCATTTCAGAAACTTGGTTGATCATTGGTTCACTTATTACGTGCTTGCAGATTTTAGGTATGCCCTTGTTTTGGAGCCGACCAACAAGACAGCAAACGTTGCTATTAATAGAATAAAGAAATTTGTCCAGTAGATGAATTATACTACATTGATAACAGAGTTGCAAGTTACAAGCTGGTTCTACCCTGTACGAGGTCTGGTTTTGAAACAAAAGCTGATCGAGTCATGCAGGTATCATGTTGAAATGATTCGAGACTTGGCCATTCGCTCTTTAGGTCTCATCAGCATCAAGATTTTGCTTGTGGTGGCCTTAGTACAGCATCGGCTGGACTACAACATCAGACGTCCTTCTTGATCTTGTTTCTTCAAAGAATATATTGGTAGTAGAATAAACATAGCCATTTTTGCTACGTGGTTCATGGCGACTTCCAGTTTGTAACAATATCTTGTATGAGCCTAGCATTCTTGTTCTTGCTGTTGCGGTTTTTTTGGGCATAGCGATGATTATATGTGCAAGTTGTAGTTGGACAAATATACGGTTATAGATTAAATGGTCTTTGCCAAATGCCAAGTGCAACCCATGCTTATCTTAGGAGTACATCACTTGCTTATCTTGGTATGTAGAGTTATTTGAATTTTCAGACAGTTTTCATTTCTCAGTATCTACTATGATCCACTAGATTTCCTTATGTAGTCTCCATGGAATGTCACTGTTGCTATCTTGTTGCGTTAATTTTGTATCGGTTGCTAACTGTGTGGACTGTAAAGGTAGTTATCTCCAACCTTCCAACTTGCATCTTGGTCTTCTAAAATATTTGCTCAATACTTCTCGGATACTTTTTCTTAAGATTACAGTCTTTGTAAGCAAATTTGGATGAGGAATGACTTAGATGAATGGCTGTCACAATTTATGGTGCAAATTTGAGCTGATGATGGCACAGTTTTATGCGGCACAACGATTTCTTGATGGTGATATGGGATTTCGCATAAAGATCTGGTGGAGGTTGTGATTTCACATCGACATAGAGTTCAATTGAGATCGACTGGTTGTTGAGCTGCCGGAAAAATCTACAGTTCAGTTTTGACTTGGCTTCTTGAGGAGAAAGACCTGAAGAGTAGATGATATACTCTGCTATCAGTGGATTGGGATGAATATTATCTACCGACCTCTCTTATCCCAGGATTGTGTTTGGAGCGTGGGCTCCATACTCAGCTTGCAAGTTGTAGTTTCAAAGTGGTATTCATCTTCTTTACATTGTCGAAAAGGAAAAGGTAGTGTTAACTTTTTCTCAAAGGGTTGCGAACTGTGACTACCAAAACCCAAAGGGGGAAAAAAGGAAACAAGTAGACTTTGAGATGTGTGGACCTCTGAGCTGTGGACTTATGCACGCATGTATTATGCTTGGGTATCCTCCAATGATCACATATTAACATGATCTTCCAACTCGGACTTGTTGGTGCTTGAGTGTATTATTGAGTTTGAACACAGCTGGGATCAGTGAAAGTATTTCTTTAGTGAAGGTGGTCTTAATTATTTCTTTTAGTGTGAACCTGTCTTATTGCTTTTAAGGGGAGGAAATTAAACTAATACTCTGTTGAGGCGTTGGTTAAGCTGCAGAGATGCAGAACATTCTACTAAAAAACTTTCATTGAGCTTGGGAGAGACTAGTAATTTTCTATACGTCGTCTCTGGTGGAAAATAATAATAATAATAATAATGACTTCTTTTGAATTTACACAGCACAGGATTCTTGGGACAACATGAGACACGGATTCGAGTCAGGTGATTGTTGACCGCGGGGAGAGAGCTGCACTCATTGTATCAATGCATGGCTTCAAGCGTTCTGTTGCCGTAGTGGGGCACAAAAACTGAACAGTGTTTACCCTTTTTCTGCTGCTGCTAGGCGATGCAGAAATTTTATGTCCTCAATTTAATTTCATCTGCGCCAGAATCCCATACGTACGTATGGTATACGCTAAACCTACAAACCTGCAAGTTTCTAACCTGACGATTTTTGAAATTGAAATCCTAACCTCATCTCTGAGCGAGGAGTGCGCTTGTATGGAGAGGACTCAACTAATGCCGCTAGATTTATAACCTTTGTACATGGATAGGGTAGTTTTAAGGTTTAATTGCAGATAGATCCTTCGTACTATGGCCTAAGTAGGGATAGACCCGTGAAGAATCAACTTTCTGCGACTCTTTTGACTAATAAGAGTGGAAAAAAACTAACTTAGGGGTCTATCTGCACTTGGGCGGATAGTACAGGGCTTATCCTCACCAATAGAATCACTGGAAGTCCACGGGCAATTGGGCAATAGTACAAGGGTCTTATACACAATTAATCCTCTATTTAAAGGTTCCTTACTAATGACTGTGATTTGGTAAATTTCCGCACTACAGTCCTGGCTTTTAGGGTGAGGATGTCATTTATGTTTGGATTATTTACCTTGCATTATCCACGTCCTTTATATCTGAGACAAATCACTTCTAGCTCTCTCTAGCAATCAAAAAATGTCCCCAATTGCTGAACTAAATTTAAAAAATTACCTTCGTAAACCGTTTCAATGTGGACAGCTCTTCCCTCTGATGATTGTAAAACCTACAATAACTTGATAAAATCTTATTTACTGTCCACACGTTTTTAACTTACGATGGACAGTATGAGCTCTTTGATTTTGTGATGCAAGGTTTACCCGTTTAGTTATTCCGCAAATAATTTGGTCTCGAAGCGTCCCCTTGAAGTAGTCTTAGACCCCCCAGTGTACCTCTAACAGATAACTATTCAGTTTTTTTTTTTTTTTTTTTTTTTTGTGTGTGGATGATCTCATTCTAGGTATTTTCAGTAATTTTAAAAATCAGATTTGTTGTTTTTCCAAAAATGAACAAAAGAACAGTCACAAGTGAAGAATCTGGACACTAAACCAACAACTTCCCCCGGCACACGAAAAAAAACAAATTCCCAGGCTAGAGAAAATTCCCTTGGTTAACCAAGAGCATAATGGACTGTAAAAATTTGAGGTGTTCATTTTTCAAGTATACGTCCTCCATTTTTTTCATTGCTAAATCTAATTACTACATTTCCCTAGGTGATGATCACGCTACTAAAGCTCACAAAAGAATGATGGGTGAAAAAGTGGGAGGCAAAGCTTTCATTATAACAGATGAAAATGCACGCGCTGGATCCTTCAGAGCAGCGAGCAATTCATGTGAAAGAGAGTTGCAAATGTTTTATGCTAAATCTTTAAATGGTATATAAATTTCTACCAACATTATCATCTATTTTGGATCAATCTCTATATATGTTTAGTTTTGCTGCTGATGCACATGGAAGCTGGGCAAAAAAGCTCTGGCACACCAAAAATAGCGCAGCAACTACTTGTACTAATTTCATATGGTACCTCTCTCTATACCTACCAACCAAGAGTTCTAAAGTCTCAACAACTAATTTAAGATAATATGTAGCTGGTATTGTTGGAAGCTTTGTCATGAAAAAGGCAATTTTGCCTTTGTGAATAGTTTCACATTGGAAAATGAGATGAATAGTGAAGGGTATATAATGGTTCTCTTCTTATTGGGCTAAACTCTCTTCTTTCTCTACTCTTATACCTCCAAGAAATTTCGGCTACATATTTTCTATTCTTTGGGTAACCGTTTTCGTCTGAGCATAAGCTATGTGACTCACGCCCGAGTGCAGAGGCCAGCCGATTCCGGGGGGTTTTACCGCTAGGGGAGAGAGGATAAATTGCGCCAGGACGATAGGCGGGTCCTTAATCTTCTAGGGCAGTGATATCACGACTGCTCCCGATCAGGCTTGAATTTTCTAACTTCTTAATTTGTTTTTATATTTTTATATCCCTGTTTTGACAGCAATCTAGAAGATTAATTAATAATTCTTGTTGTTAAGTTAATTAGTAAAAAAAAAAAAGTTACTGTTCATCGGGATTACTGTTCACCTGGATTTTATATATTATTAAGTACTTGTTGTATTAGTTAATTGTTTTAATTTGTTGCATCTAAATTAGTTAAAAAAATTTATTTTTTTGCTGCTTCTGTACTCAATTTTTGTATCTGTCATATATATAAAAAAATCTTTAAGTGAACCGGTTCAAGTTTTCTTGGATTAGTTGGTGTTTAAGGAAAGGTTTAAGGGTTGCGTAAAGCGCTCTGCAAGAAACGAGATATTTAATAGATCTTTGATCAACCTCTAGTACTATCCTTACCTGGCCAAACTACCCGAGTAAAACTTTTATCTTTTCACTTTCAGAGTTTTTGATTTAAAGCAGGTTTAATTAAGTTTCTGGTCTAGTAATATTGACAAAATCTTTTTTTTTATATCAGATTACATCTACCTAGACTAGTAAACTTGAATTGGACTTATGGCAATTCCTGATCATTCAAAAAATGTCAAACCTGAGAAGTTCACCGATGTTAACTATAAACGGTGGGCTAATTAGATGAAATACTGGCTCACTACCTTAGGTCTTTTATATGCTATTGACACTTCTAAGTCATCTACTAGTGGTTCTCAACCTTTGACTCCTGATCCTGCTCAACCTGCTCCTTCCACTTCTGGTTCTGGTGCTAGCTCCTTTTCTAGCTCTATGAAACCAGAAGAAATCAACTATCATTGTTGTCATAGGATCCTTAGTGCACTTGCGGACAACCTTTATGACATATATTATGAGTTCAAAAGTGCAAAAGAACTATGGAATGCTCTTGAAGCAGAATATGGCTATGATGATGCCGGAATTCTACGTTTCACCTCCTCCTCCTTCAATAAGTTCATGATGGTTGATGACAAGCCCATTAATGAACAAATTCATGAATTCCTAGATTTCCTCCGTCATCTCCAATCAAAAGGAAACACTTTTACTGACGATTATAAAGTTTCCTGTTTGATTGATAAACTTCCTCCATCATGGTCTAGATTTGCTGGAGATCTCCGACACAAGCAATGAGATCTAACCTTAACTGAAGCCCTCAAGGCTATTCGTATTGAAGACCAGCATAGGCAAAATTCCAATACCAAGAATGAAACAAAAGCTAAAGTAAACTTGGTAGAGGATAAGCCTAAATCTAAGAATTTCAAACCCAAAGGGAAGAAATTCAAGAAAAATCAACAATCTTTCAACAAATCTTTCAACAAATCCTCCTTCAAACCAAATCCCAATTCTTCCAGCCATAAGTCTGATGAGAAGTTCTGCTTTGTCTGTGGTAGAACCAACCACATGGCTCACAACTGTTTCTTTCGGAAGAAGGAACCGGCCAAACCTGCCCCTAAAGGAAATGGATCCAACAAAGTTAATATGATTGAAATGAATCCAACCTCCTTCAGGTTAGCCTCTTCATCTCATCTTGTAAATTCTCTAACTTCTTCCACTGATTGGTATTTGGATTCCGGAGCAAATATCCACGTCTGTAATGACCGCTCTTGGTTTTCAAATTATCAGGAATCACGTGGAGGAAGCATAAGCTTAGCAGATGACTCCACTAAATCAATAATAGGAAGTGGAAGCATAGAGCTCACCATGACTTCTGGGAAATCTCTTCATCTGCAAGGCGTTTATCATGTTCCTTCTCTCCATCGCAATCTGATTAGTGAATCTCTTCTTCTTAGAGCTGGTTATAGGATTGTAAAAGAATCCAAC